TCCGGCTTGTCCTCGCCTCCCCGGACCTCGCGGGGCAAGAGATGAGCCCCGGGCAGCCCGCCCCGAACTGGGAGCTGGCTCTTGCCCGGCAGGAGGGAGAGGAGGATGGGCACAGGGACCCCGCTGGGGGGGAGCACCGGGAGCTCTGAGCTGCCTTCCCCCTTCTCCTAGATCCGCATGTCAGACCAGAACAGCACCGACGATGGGGAGTCAGACCCCCAGCACAGCCTGTCTATGGTCTTCCTCCTCGTCCTGGTCTTCTTCATCATGGGGCTGGTGGGTTTCCTGATCTGCCATGTCCTGAAGAAGAAGGGTTACCGGTGCCGGACCTTCCGGGACGATCTTGACCCAGATAACAAGGATGTGCTGGCAGAGCTCCAGGACAGTGAGTGCTGGGGCCACGGGGGCTCAGGGGGGCTGCCTTTTGTCCAGCATGGACTGGTGCTCCTTATACACACTTCTGGGATGTGGGATGGGACTGGGAGAGTTACCTGTGACGTGTGGCTGGGTTGGGAAAAAGGGATGGAGAGAGTGTTCCCTGGGGATGGGGAGTGTGTGGCCCGGGGATCCCTCTGATCTGCTGGCTCCACAAGCTGGTGGTGACAGGGAGGTGGGAGCCAGTGTCTAGCTCTTCCCAAAGGAACATTACCACCAAAAGGTAATTCTGATGGACCTGCTGAATTCCCAGTGCCTGAATTATAATCCATGCTCCCCAGGCAGGGATACAAGGTGTCACCTCTGCCCCTTCAGCATTAGGAGGTCTGGCAGGGGGCCAGCATGGTGCTGGTTTTGTCTTCTTCCAGTCCCTGCTGTGCAGGCCAGAGGAATAGGGATATTTCCTTGATCACTGTGCTAGAACGGGACCTTTAGGGATTTTTTCCCATTGCTTCAGGCCACTGTAAGTTGCTCTTGGGTGGTTGGGTTGGGAAGTCACTGCAGCATCGAGCGTGGGTGCAAAGTAGAGCCCGGCCCAAGTTGGTTTCATGAGTCTCTGCCGAAATGGGGAAGGCACATTCCTTCAGCTGCTTCCTTAGCTGGAAACAGCCACATGGTGCTGCATAACTCCTCCAGCTTCCATGTGCCTGGGAGGATCAGCACCTCCTGCTGCCGTTTCTCGTGCACGGGGGGGAATGTGACTCCTCCAGCTCACCCACAGATGCAGCAAGAGCTTCCAGGTGTCCACAGATCTGCTTCTGTGGCTCTAATGACCTGGCTGTGCACGACATGGAGACAGTGAACCTTCCAGGATTGGCTTTGCCCTCTGGAGATACCACAGCCCTGGGAAACATCTCCATGGACTTCCAGGACCATGGTGGCAGCCCTTGACCATGTTCTTTGAGGCAGCTGCCTGCCAGACCACAGCTCCAAAGAGCTTACAGGAACAGCTAACACAGCAGACTGTGCTGAAAGTCCATCCTTCCAGGCCTCCTGTCTCCAGCAGTGTTCAAAAGCAGGCTGTAATAAACGTTGGAGAAGAATTCCACAAGCAGAGCAAGCATCAGTCAAGTTTCCCCTCTTTTAAGCTTCTAACAGTGTGCAGCTCTGGGGCTTTCTCCATCAGAGGTGTTTTTTCTGTGTTTAACAGGCCCCAGTGGGTTTGTTTTCTGTGAACATGTCCTGTTTACCCTTGGAGACTCGAACACTCTCAGCATCCTGCATCCAGATGCTCCTGGGCTGGACTGTCCCTACAAGGAGCCTCCTCTTTCAACTTTTTGGGACCTGCTTCCCATTCATTTCTCCAGATGTTCCCCAGCTCTGAAGGAGCAACACAACCCCCCTCTCCCTGCACACACAGCTGCTGGCTCAGCCATTTCCTTTCCAGGGTGAGGGATCTGGTGTTCCCCAGCATAATGAGGAATATGAGGCTTCTCCAAGCTCTCTGTGGTCGTGGCTGCTCCTGGGGAGAGAACTCTGAGCAGAGCCTCCAAATCCCAGCCCTCAGTGCCCCGTTGTCTCTTTTCAGATGAAGAGGAGGAGCTGAACGAGGACACGGTGGAGAAGATCGTGAGATGCATCATACAAAACGAAGGTGAGCACGCCCATGGGCCGGCCTGGAGCCGTGCTGACCACTTTGGCTGACACATCCCTGTTTTCCTCTCTCTTCAGCAAATGCAGAGGCTCTCAAGGAGATGCTGGGGGAAAATGAAGGGGACGTCCCAGTGCCAGTGAGGTGAGGAAAGCCAATAGCAGCTTGTGGCTGATGCAGAGTGGGGGAGAAGCAGCCTTTGGGTATCCCTTTGGTCTGGACACTGCAGCCAGTCCCGTTCCAGCTGTTACAAAGCATCTTCCCCATGAGAAGTCTTGCTCTCCTGAGGGTTTTCAGGAGTGCTTCACCCCACTGGCAAGGGTTCCTATCCTCAGTGGAGGTCCCTTCCAGAGCTGCTGCTCCCAGTGCTTGCTGCAGTGGGGCTGCACCAAGGTTGGGATGACTCCTATGGATAACACGACCTGTCATGTCCTTTCCCTGTTGCAGCCTTTGTCCCCACAGCCAGGATGGGGGCCCACCACACCACCACACGGTGCACCTGGGCTCCACACAGGCCCCCTGCATCCACTGCAGCCGCAGGAAGAGGCCCCCGCTGCAGCGACAGGGACGGTCCAAGGAGGGCAAAGGCCGGATGCATCCCGGAGAGACCACTGTCTTCTCAGTGGGCAGGTACTCAAACCAGCTTTGCCAGCCATGGCCCTGATGGAACAAGCACCATGGGCTCTCCTCAGTCCCCTGATTCCTGTCCCCTTCCTCCCCTGCCCCAGGCTGGGCTCCCTCTTGCTCTTCCCTGCTGAGATGCTTCAGCAGCAGCTCTGGAGCTGGAAGTCCCAAGGACCCAGGTGGCTCTTGCACCTGGAAATGCCTGTGGTGTGTGGAGGGCTGTGATGCACCCGTGGCTTCCCTCCTTCTCTGGGAAGGTGACTCAAGCCTGGCTTTTCCTGCTGAGTCAGTGCTGGGCACAGCCCCAGGTCCGTGTCCTTTCAGTCTGCTGTCCCAGCTCCATTCAAGCAGGGCTCCTGCTGCCCAGCTGGGGGCTTTAGGAACCTCCTCAGGAGGAGAAGGAGGGGGCAGCGTGCCCCAGGTGCAAGTTACCTCCTACCACCACCAGAATGAAAGAGTGGCTGTGCTGCCCCAGGTCGTTGCCTCCAATGGTGTCTGTAATTAGATGACACAGCAGGAATATAAGAATAGGGGAGTGCTCCTGATACTTCCCACAAATACTTCTCCAGTCCCCACCTGGTCTCACCTCAAGGGACTTCCTGAGCTTCCTGTGGTCTCTGTGTAATCAATAATCTGCAGGACAGTCTCTAGGCTCGCCCAGGTTGCCCCATTCCCGAGCAGAAAGGCTTAGGAAAGTCTCCCAGGGCTCAGCTCCCCACAGCAATGGTGACTTGCACAGGGTGACAAGCAACTGCCAGTCCCTGGATGGCCATGCTGGTGAGGCACAAAGCTCTGTCATGCTCAAATCCTGCAGCAGGACTTCATCCAGAGAGTGAGCCTTGATAAAGCTGCATGTTGTGGTCCAGAGAGACAGTCCTTCCATGGGAATGCTGAGCCAGAGTGGACATGGAATCATGGAGTGATTTGGGTTGGAAGGGACCTCAAAACTCATCTTATTCCAAACCCCTGCCATGGACAGGGACATCTTCCACTAGCCCAGGTTGCTCCAAGCCCTGTCCAACCTGGCCTTCAACACTTCCAGGGATGGGGCAGCCACAGCTTCTCTGGACAACCTGTGCCAGGGCCTCACCACCCTCCCAGGGAAGAATTCCTTCCCAATATCCCATCTAATCCTGCCCTCTGGCAGTGGGAAGCCATTCCCCCTTGTCCTGTCGTGGGGGTTTTTCCACTGTCAGACCCAGGAGCTTCAGTAGGGAGGTCCTGGGGCTTTATGGGGAGCTGGAGAAGGGGGAGACACGCTGGATCTCCCCATGCTGAATTCCAGCTCAGATCACATCTGGGGACTGACAGCTCCTGGTGTTCTGTAAGCCAGGTCTCTGCACAGTTGCGTATTCATGGCTAATTCATTCCCTGGCTGGTGTCCAGCTCCATCCACTCCTCCATGTCCTTTGCCCAGGCCCTTCCCAGCCTCCTCTCACTCACCTCTGAGTGCCAGAGAAGATGGTCTCCTTTCCTAAAGGCACCTTCCCTCAAATCTTGGTTTCTCCCCTTATCCCTGTTCATATCCCATGTCCCACCAACCTTCTCCGCAGGACAGTCACCCCATTTCTCCAAGGCTGTATTTTAAATCCCCAGTCTCCTCAGTACAAGGGCCTATGTGGCCACGAGGTACAAAACCACCTCCAGATTCTGCTTCTTGTTTCCAAACTGACCCCATCTCTTCCAGATCTTTGGTGACTTTCCCAGGACTGTCTTTGCTGTGTCTTATTTATGACAAATATCTTGATTGCACGAAGTACCTTGACTCAAGACTGACCATACATAAACCAGCTTCTTTAACCCACCTCTTGGATTAAAGGCCCAGCCTGAGGTCTTTTTCTCTTTTATTTTTAGTTTTTTTTTCCCTTGGACACTGGTTGAGAGTCCAGCCCCCTCCTACATGGACTGAGTCCTGGTCCTGGTAGACACAGGTCGTTGCTGAAAGACTGGAAAGGATGAGAACTGTGGAGGTCCACCAAGATCACCTGGGGCTGGAGAATGTGGCATGTGAGGAGGCTTTTTTAGCCTGAAGAATTATAAAGGGAGGATCTAATTGTTCTCTAACACTACCCAAAGGGTGGGCAGAGTTTAAATGAAGATGGAACAAGACTCTTCTCAGACATGCACGGGGAAGGGCAAGAGGCAAAGGCCATAAATTTCAAGAAAAGAAAACCAGAAAAGACAAAATGAAAAGCTATTTCACCATGAAGTGCAGACCTGGGACAGGGTCCTTGGGGGTGGAGAGATCTCCATTCTTGGAGGTTTCCAAAACCTGACTGGATGGGGCTCTGGGCAAATTGATTGAGGGTGGAAGGTAGCCCAGCTTTGAGCAGGGGATGTGACTGGAGACCTCCTGAGGGCTTTTTGCCCCTGAATTATTCTGCACTTCTGCAGCAATCTGGAGTGCTGCTGATCTGTACTTTCATATCACAGGATGATTTACCATTTCTCTCAGGGCTTTCCCTAAACCAGCTGTTGTCAGTGGCAGAGCTCATCCACCAAAGCATCTGAATCTGACTGCCTGTCCTCAGCCTGATCAGCCACAGTGTGTCACATCCTCCTGAATCCAAAGCCTCAGTGATGCTGACGAGGCAGCCAGCCAGAGCTCTCTGCCTTCCCCTCACCAGCTGGAGGTTGGTTACGTTACCTCTCGTGTCCTCTCCACTCCAAACCTTTCCTGCACTTTGAATCCATTCAGCTCTTCCAGGCTGACATTGCTCAACGGCATCACCAAGATGTGATCCTGCCACTGGTGCCTCCTCCCAGTCCCTCTTTGGGACCAGAACATTCTTTGGTCTTCCCAAATCGCAGCGCTGGTGTCTTGTCTCCCAATACCTGGACAGACCTGAAAGGCCACATTTGCTGCTGCTTGGCCTGACCTGAGCAGACCTGTGGGTACCTTGTCTGGAGCTGGAGCATTTTTCCTCTTGACCCTTCCAATCCTGAGCAGCATTTCTGACCATGCTGAGGGGTCGGTGCTGTCCATAGGCTGGTCCTCAGCCTGCTGGTGGTCTCCATCCCACCTGGCACCTGTCCTTATCTCCCAGACCTCTCTGCTCCTCCCTTCGAAAGCTGCCACTCTTGACCTTTGGGTCTTGCTCTTCTTTCAACCCCAGCAGTGCTTGAACTTTGCTGTGGAGTTGTGTTTTGCCCTGATGCTGTCTCACAGCTGAACCTCAGCACACCCAGGGCTGTCAGCAGCTTCTCCACGTGTGAGCCAAGTGCAGGGAGAGCGGGAGTGGGTGAGTCACGGGCTGCAGGAGGTCCCTGTGGTGGGATTGGCGTGCTCTGGCTGGTGGACACCAGCTCACCATGGAAGAGATTTCCTGTCTGCTGGTCCAGCAGTGGCTGGCAGTGCTTGTGAGGAGGAGTCACGGAGTGAGTCACAACCAGCTGGCTCCCAGATCAGTTTACACTACACTTGCCTACACTTGACCCCTTACAAGCTCAGGGAACTGGGGTTGTTCAGCCTGGAGAAGAGAAGGCTCCAAAGAGACCTTACAGCCCCTTCCAGTACCCAAAGGGGCTCTGAGAGACTTTGGATAAGGGCCTGGAGTGCCAGGACAAGGGGGAATGGCTTCCCACTGCCAGAGAGCAGGGTTAGATGGGATAT